ATTAGCACATTGCTATCACCAGGTTAACACTAGCCCATTGCTATCACATGCAAACACTAGCAAATTGCTATCACCATGCTAACAGTAGACCATTGCTATCACCATGCTAACACTTGCCCATTGCTATCACCATGCTAACGCTAGCCCATTGCTATCAACATGCTAACACTAGACCTTTGCTATCACCATGCTATAACTAGCCCATTGCTATAACTATGCTAACACTAGCCCATTGCTATAACTATGCTAACACTAGCCCATTGCTATCACCATGCTAACACTAGCCCACTGCTATCACCATGCAAACACTAGCCAATTGCTATCACCATGCTAACAATTGCCTATTTCTATCATAATGCTAACGCTAGCCCATTGCTATCACCATGCTAACGCTAGCCCATTGCTATCAACATGCTAACACTAGCCAATTGCTATCACATGCAAAAACTAGCCAATTGCTATCACCATGCTAACACTAGCCCATTGCTATAACCATGCTAACACTAGCCCATTGCTATTACCATGCTAACACTAGCCCATTGCTATNACCATGCTAACACTAGCCCATTGCTATAACCATGCTAACACTAGCCCATTGCTATTACCATGCTAACACTAGCCCATTGCTATTACCGTGCTAACACTAGCCTATTGCTATCACTGTGCTAACACTAGCCTATTGCTATCACATGCAAAAACTAGCCAATTACTATCACCATGCTAACAGTAGCCTATTGCTATCACCATGCTAACACTAGCCTATTGCTATCCCCATGCTAACATTTGTTTATTGCTTTCTCCACTCCCGTCTCTATTCCACCATCACAGACTCAGCGTCGCCACTTGTCCGCTTTTCCAGGAAACAATGAAACTGACCATGGCGTATTGCTATTGTTGCTAACGCTACATTCACATCAACACACATACTGGTCAAATTCTCCAGTGTAGAAGTAAATAAAGCAGGTATGAGAAAGGGTCTGAATGAGGTCGATTTATATCATGAAAATTATTAAACGTGAACTTAAAGACAATTTCAGGAAGATCGTACCAGTGAAATACCAGTTTAAGATTCCTTTAAATGAAAATTAACTGGCGCAAGGAGAAGGGCCAAATATCCCACAGAGGGATAGCAGAAACTCCCTGATATCTAGAAAGCATGTGGTAGCGGTGCATCCTGTTAAATATCTATCTCTGTGTTGGTGTGAATCAGAGGAAGTCCTACAGAAACAAAGCAGCGATCCTGCTTCACGTTTTGCAGTGAATGCTGAATAAATATTCAAACCCGGAAAGAGAACGTCTCAAATACATCAGTAGAGGAGTAAAAATGAAGGAGGAGTGATTGAGAACTTCTGAACGGAAGGATGCTGCCGGTTTTTATTATTAGCCTGGAAACATGTGGACAGTTCTGCTGACTGAGCGGATTACAGGATGAATAAAAAAAACACAAAACAAACCGAAAAAAGTTTACTTAGTAGCACTTTTAAGAGAAAAGTGTCGCCTATAAAATATTCATTTAAATAAAGTTTAAATGGTGGCAGCTCTCCACAGCCTCCAGGTAGAACCTGGTAGTTCAATCATCACATGCTTAATTTTAAAGCAAACAGCTCCTTTTGTTTAACCAACAGGCAGAGCAGTACAATTACAGAGAGAGAGAGAAAGAAAGCAGCGAATCCTGACTGTGAAGAAACGACTGTTGCTGTTAATCCGCTGTACAGTCTGGAGCTGTTTATCACGATCAAACCCCAGATTACCGCTTCTGTTGGTTCCTATATGCCTCACACACACTTTTTCTAACAGCGACGATCAGATTCTGATGAAAAACACCAAAAAAAAAAAAAAAGAAAAAGAAGGAAAAGCCCTGCTGATTGGCTCAAACACGGGCACGACAATTAGAGGTCAGGAGGAGGTGACGTGTCGACTTATCGGGCCAGAGGTGGATTTTTATCACACTTCCTGCGATGGTTAAAAATGATTAATAGAAGAAGAATAAGAAAAAAGGAACTTTAGTTGTTTTTGCAGAGTTGCTGCAACTGAAGAGCGATTCTGAGAACAGAGGAGGGTAGAAACACCACAAGAGAGAGGGAGGGAGGGGGAGAGAGAGAGCAGAACAGATGCTGCTGCTGCTTAATAAACGCTGCTTTGGATGAACGTTAATAAACCAAGGCGGGGGGGCTGTTACTGGTAGAATGTGTTTTTCTTGCTGAAGTTATCAGGCTGGTTATCACTGTGTGTGTGTGTGTGTGTGTGTGCGTGGTCCAGATGGCGGATAACAGGCCCTGCCTTTATTAGCCAGCGCCGCCTGATAACGACCTGGTATTGATCCCAGGTTGAAAGAGCAGCTTCGTCAAACATGGCTGATTTACAGAGCGCTGATAATGGCAGCGCCGGGCAACCGAGGAACCCCGGAGAGGAGGAAGACGAGTAAATCAGCACTGTGATGATGAAGGTGTGTGAGCGAGGCCTAAACAGAAAGCAATGGATGCCGAGTCGCTTTTCTATCGATAAACTGGCTCACATGTGCAGCACGCCTGACTTCTCTCATCTTCTTCTTCTACAGTCGGCACATAACCCACCGCTAACCTCAAAAACACACACGCGCACACACACACGCACGCACGGCAGCTAATCTCTAATCTGGTCTCGATTAGCACCTGACAGAATTTCCATGGGTTTATCAAACCGAGCCAACCAGCAGACGCTTATCAGCCTCAGCCCCCAAATTTCACAACAGCAGGAATTTTTTTTAGATTAAAAAGAGAAAAAAAGAAACACAGCCAGGGAAATCTTGAATAAGTCGATCGAATATGAGAGAAAACTGCTATCACAGGGAGAGATGGAGGTGCTGGAGGTGGGGGGGAGGCGGCGCTCCGGGATAAGAGGGCCGACTAACCGGGGGGCCACAGAAATGTTTTCTTCTTCTGGTTGTTTTCTGACGAGATAAAAAAGCGACACACATGGAAGCTACAAGCTCATAAAGCACCGGCGGCCATTTTTCCTGCCTCTCTTTGGGACGATGCCGGCCTGCTGACAGACAGCGGCTGAGCTTCGGCTGAACGGCCGCTAATTACAAACGGTTAATGGGTAATCAGCAGGATGTGACCTGGAAGCTGCTTCCTATCAGAACCAGGGAAAACTCTGTGCTTTTATTTTGAAGGGATGTAGTGAGCAGAAATCTTCTAGTTTCAAGTCTTCCCTCCAAAAAGTCATCAGGTTGAAGCTTCTCATCCACTCAGTGTGACCTGCTGGATGTGTTCTCTTCATCCTCTGACATGGGAGCTGGCTCGGAGCTCGTCTGCCTGGCTGTGTGCTACTGGACGGGGCCGCCAGCGGAGCTGATTTACAGTTACCTTTTGTATCTCTGCTTCTTTTTGTATCTCTGCTTCTGTCTCCTTGAACCCCAGTCGGCCTCAGCAGATGGCCGCTCACATTGAGCCTGGTTCTGCTGGAGGTTTCTTCCTGTTAAAAGGGAGTTTTTCCTCTCCACTTTCGCTACAAGCATGCTTAGGCTGAGGGATTGCCTTAGGAGTCAATGAGTCGATTGTTGTGAATTGGCGCTATATAAATCAATTTAACGGAATCATCACCTTCAGCGGCTGGCGGGCGGAGCATTGCGCTCTGCTGCCACCTGCGTGGATTCTAGCCGCTACAGAAACTTCATCCTGCAGACATATCAACTGTGACCTTTGACCCGCAGCCCTTTGTGCCTCCTCTCCTTGTCCACAGCTCCTCTGTCTGTTGAATGGCTCATAAATGGCGCGGAGGGAAGCAGCAATCTATTCTAGGGTGGTATGGTGTCAGCACACCGCCCACTGTGCGGTGTCTCATGGGCCTTACCTTCGTTGTAGAGTGGCGTGTAGGACGGGGGGCTGCAGCTGTCACCTTCTGCAGAATCCTCTGGATCAGAGGCTCCGCCCTCCTCTCCTGACAGGCTGGGCGTGTCCGCGCTGCTCTCTTCTCCGCCGCCCAGATCCCCGAGGGAACCTGACACCAAAAATAAAAACAAGTTGAATTTTTTTTAACACTTTTTGGAGAAAAAAAGAGCAATAACTTAGAATTTTTCCTCTTTAAGTTGTTCCAAAACAGTTAAAAAACAATCCACTGGACTTTTTTCAAGTTTGAAGACGTTTCGCTTCCCATCCAGGAAGCTTTTTCAATTCAAAATGTCTCTTTAAGTATTTATTTGCTCAGAGTAAAGCAGATGATCAAATGAACGTCGAGTCTTTTTAACCAGCATGGACTCGTGACTCTTAAACCCCAAGATGGAGTGTCGGTTTGTTAGGTCCCGACTGTCTTTTGCTCATTTCTGTTTTTGCTTTTAACTTTCTCAAACAAAATATTTGGAAGACAGAAGCAAATGATACTATTGTGAGCTGATAACAGAAGACAACCCAGGATCAAAGGTGTAAAAATAAATGAAGATACATGAACTTTTATTTCTGTTTGACATAGAATCACAGATCAAATCCGTTTTTATTGCGGTTTTTAGGTTTAATTTCTCTTAGTTTTTTGATCAATAAATGGCCTTTTTTGCTGCAGCTCAGTCAAACATAAAGGGTTCAAGTTGTGATGGATCTAAAACAGAAGAAGAAGCTTTTCAATCCAACAAGAAGGTGAAGAAGTAGAGAAAACTGCAGAAAAAGACGGTCGGCTGAACGGCAGAAGGGAGAAATTAAAGCCCTAAAAACAGATATTTCTCCATATTTTAAATAGAGTAATTCAGAAAGGGGCGTCAGGATTGGACACGCTGAACGGTTTAATCCAAAAGATTAATAGCAGGAAGCCGAAGGGAACCTCAGAGCCAAATGACAGCATACCTAAAATTACAGCTAAAAGAGTGATTAGTGCCGGGCTGATCGCTATCAATTACAGTCCCATAATCCCTGCTGACCAGAGTAATTATACACTACTTTTGATCTATTTTAGCCTGTTTGAAGATTATATCCCCCGCAAAAAAAAAAAAAAAATAGTCAGTTAATATGGATTTAATGCGACTTTCATTAATGCTTCTCTCTCTATAGGATGGATCCTTTAACAGATTGAAGCGGGAACATTTACAGGCAGAGGGCCTCCAGGGCCTGCAGCCGTCTGCGGCTCCCAGAGGATCCACCGACGGAGGATCGAAGACGACCGGGAGGACGAGGGTGAGGGTGGGCCCTTGGCTTCTAGGCGAAACGAATCCCGACTCAGATCAGGGAGTCTTTTTCCAGCCCTCCATCCAGAACAGGTTGCAAATTAATTTCCAGGAGGCTGCGCAGAGCCAAGGAACAGGGCGAGGGGGTGTGTTTCTAAAGCCGTGACTGGGGGGCGTATATATTTACACTGCTGGAACAAAAGGACGCTATAATCTATACAAAGCACACAACAATACCCGTGAATAAAGCAGCTTGTAGAAAAAGGGAGAGGCAATTTTTCTAATTCTGTTAATTTCACTTCCAAAGCAATTAAAAGCAGGCAGAGATAATGGCGGGAAACAATCGGCGGCTGACAAAGTGTTTCTGTCTTTGTAAATGAAACATCTTTAGGCTAATTTCAACTTCCACGCCTGCATGCTTCACTCTCATTTCAGATAAAAACGAGCAGCAGATTTGGACCAAAGCAGAGAGGAAGGGAAGGAGGACAGAGATCGATCCGGTGTGGAGAACATTTTTAGCTCCATGTCGTCCAAGCTTTGCTCCATCTAATTTTCCATATCTGGAAGGACGTTTTCATACAATTAATTTCCCTTTAATCAGAGTTGTACAAAGGCGCTTCTGTGTGTAAAATTCCAATTATATTTCTTGTTTAAAGCGGAGGTTTAAATGATGGTTCCTGTCCTCGTTAAAGCGCCGCTTTAATGAATCAATCACATCAAATGGGGCAAAAACTCTCCGCTCTGCTTGCCGCCTTCTGTCCCTGCAGAAATATCTTCCTTTCCCGTTTCCCCCTCTTCTGGTGTGGGACACTTGGCAGAAAGCCTCGATAAGTCAGCCCGGTTCTGCTTCATTTAGCTCCCAGTTTCCAACTCAAACTGGTTCATCTTTCCAGCAGATATCCTGGAGGATCAGACTGGGCTCCTTCCATGTTCATTGGGACCCGTTTCTGCTTTCCAGGATCTAAGAAGGAAATCTGGTTCCGTCTGGAGCCTGAAACCTTTTCTCTGTTTGGCCTCATCTCTGCACAAACAGGAAGTAAAACCGGCAGCATATTAAAGATGAGATGGAGATCTAACCGAAGCATGAATCAACGTTTCCTTTGCTTCCTGAGGCAGCGGCGGCAGGAGACTCCAAAGGGCCGACGGGTCGCAGCAGCTCGCCACTACTGGAGCTGATTTACTGTGAGGTCTGAGCTGCAGGTTCCTTCCTAGGAACCCTAACCTGCTAAATATATGAAAGCTGCTTCAGAAGAAAGGAAGAAACTGGTCTCAGTTATGATGCATTTAAAACATAAAAAAATAGTCTGGGAAATATTCATTGACCAACTTTTAAAAAGTAGAAAAAAAAATAATTTGATGTTTTTCAATCAGATGGAGCGAATTAATGAGGCGATGCAATTTGTGATGTCATATGTTTACGTTACACCTGGCTGGAGTAGACAGGAAGTAGTTTTATTTTTTCATTTGTTCATGTCATTATTGCATAATCTTTTTGTTTTTCCATACATGAACAAAAAAGATCAGAGGGAAGATAAATCTTGTATTATCTGTTCCTAAAAGTTAGCAGCTAGCATGTACCACAGCGCCAGGATGGAACGAGGCTTTAATAAATGTTGAGGCCGACAGGTTGTACTATTACTGCATTGGAAAACAGCTGATCAGTCATCTACATCAGATCTTAGTCCACCTCGTATTTAACCGTTTATGCTATTTCAAAAAAGTCAAAAATTTCCATTAAACTAAAAAACTTTTTTGCACATTTATGAGGTTTATCAGAGTTATCACAGGATTTGCATAAAGGCACCTAACAGGAAGGC